ACACAATGGAATTCTATGCAGCAGAAAGAAAGAAGGAGCTCCTACCCTTTGCAACAGCGTGGATGGAGCTGAAAAGCATTATGCTAAGCAAAATAAGCCAGGCAGTGAAAGACAAATACCATATGATCTCACCATTAACAGGAACCTAAACAACAAAACAAAGAAACAAGCAAAATATAACCAAAGACCCTGAAATGGAGAACAGTCTGACAGTGACCAGAGGGGAGAGAAGAGGGAATTTCAGGGGAGAATGGGAAGGGTTTACAGGAACAAATTTAAAGGACACATGGACAAAAACTAGGGGGAGGGGGGTAAAGGGAGGGAAGTGGGGAGGGTTGGGTGGGTGGGCTGGAATAGGAGTAAAAGGGAGAAAACTACTTGAACAATGATTAAAATTTTTTTAAAAAAGAAAAAACTTGATTTTTTGCCCTCAAAATCAGTTCTTTACATAAGACCACTTAAACATAATAGACAAAATTATTTTAGAAATACTTGACTGGATAAAATTGAAATCTAGAAATTTGCTAGATGCAGTTAAAATTCTTATGTGCTCAATAGGAACATAGCACTGTTCTATTAGGAACTATTCAGTTAGCAGCTTAATCATCAACAGCTGCTACAAGAAAAGTTTTAGGTTATGCCTTCAAAGGTGTATTTTATAAAAGCAGAATTGTCAAAGTAGTATTAGTTTATTTACTGAGGGTTTCTTAGAAATAAAAGAACAACAGGAAAGGAGAGGAAAAACTAAAACACAAGTGATTGCCAAAACAAACAAACAATCAAACAAACAAACAGAGTTCCCAATTTCCTAAAGAATTCTGCCTCCAATTCATAGAACTCTCCTTTTAGGAAGCCTGTACAAAGGGCAGACCCCAGTGGGTCACATTTATTTTTTGTTTTCTATCTAGTCCACCTTTCCCCCCGCTTTTCCTTATTCAGGTACCTTGAGTTTTCTACTGCCTCCTCCTCTGTCATCTTCCCTCTCTCTATCCCAATGAAAACCTACTCAAGTGAAGAACTATATATTAGTCATTCACATTTTAGTATAAATTTTTAAATATTTTTCTTCTCCAAGATATCTATATTTAAGCTGTTAATAGTTATTATGGAAAGATGTTTATTAGTTCTATTAATAGAATTTTAGACAGAATTATTCTAGAATTAGAATCCCCTCCAAAAGCTTATTCTTTTGCTAGAGCAAATGGTGTTTGGTTAATCTTCTCTAAAGGTGTTTTGCTTAGGCTTCTGGAGTCATGATAACAATTAGTATACTTGCTGTAAATTCACTTATCAAGAGAGAGTTAAAAAGAAACTCAGATTTAAGGAACTTCCCCAGGAAATGTTGCCAGGAGAGAATGTAAAGAAAGATACAAAGATCCTTAGGAAGCATATCCTTTCAAGTAGGATTTAAAAGTAAGAAAAGCAAAGAAGCTAAGAGCTGAAAGGAGCCTTGCAAATCACCATGCTCAATAGCCTCATTTTATTAACAACAAAAATAAGGCTAGAGAGGGTGAACACTTGCTCACGGACATATGACTGTTAGTGGTAGAAATTAGACCAGCACTCGGATCTCCATATTGGTTTGAGTTCATTCATTCATTCATTCATTCATTCATCAAACACTCATGGAAGGTCTCCTGGATCCCAGGCTCTCTCTGCAGTTTTAGGATACAGTCATGAATAAAGCAGACCTAGTTCCTGTGTGAGTGGCAATGTTGATCACTTTGTCACTGCTGTAGGTCAAGAGCTGTTCCCCAGATGATTGCACAAGAACCTGACTGACCTGCAGGACACGTCAGGGAGCAAACTTCCCTGATTAATTACAATCAGCAAAGTGCTTAGTGGGAGCATAGCAGGAGCTGACATAAGTACTTTCTCACCACAGATTTCAGGGGAATTTCAACTCACACATTTTTGACTCACTGGTCATTTAAATATTTATTGGCTATTAAGAAGATTGGATATCCAAGATTCTTCTATCATAGCTATGATTTGAAAAGTAAAGACCCTCACATTCTACCAATAAGTTAATAGAATCACAATAGACTCTTTTTTCTTTATTTTTAATTCAAACATGCCACATCATAGCCAGAACCAATTTGACCCTCCAGTTTTGCAAAGATTAATTGGAGTGCTATTATACAATAGCATATCTGGTAATAAATATGAAGGAAAAACTTTTCTCCTGTTGTAAGTGCCTAATTTCTGATACACAAACATTTCAAAATCTATATTTTGAGGCAAAGAGACTACATTTTCCTGAGCAACTCATAAATTGTTGAAATCAATTTTGCATGTTGTTTTACTTAATCAAACAACCAACCTCCCCTATCTCCTCCTCCCCTCCCCACCCCCGGCCCCAGCCTTACCTCAGAAGGAGCTGGGGTTTGGATTTAGAGAGGCTTAGATTCCAGCCCTGATGCTTTTTGGTATGTGATAAGCTACTAGCCAGTTTAAGTCTCAGTTTATTTGTAAATTGGGGACAATTGCACCTCCTCAAAGAATTGCGATGAGATTTACATGTGGGGTAGTATGAGGGCAGGGTGGGCTCACCCCCACACCTATGTGATGGTATTTAGGAAACATTAGTCCTTCTTTTCCCTTCTTCCTTTCTTTCAAACTGCTTATTTCTGTGTGGTTCCAGGGGTCTGCTCTGCAATCTCACTTTCATTTGCTTTCCCTGCCTTGACCTCACACAGCTCAAGGCCTTCGGCTCCCAGGAAGCCTGGCCTGGTCAGCCCAACCTACTCTTCAGCCTGCCAGCTTTGCACTCACTCTTCCCCCTCCTTAGATGGACGTTAATCTCTAAGAGTTTATGCCATATGTTATCATGAAAGCTGCATTCCAGTGGGGCCCTCTTCTAGGCACTTCTAGTAACTTACCCATAGTCTGTTAAGGGAGGGTAATACCTGCAAATGGCTATTGTATATTTATTACATAAAGGAAAATAAATATCAAGATGATACGTTCAATATAATTACATTTTGTGTTGTAAATACCTATCTAATCTATGTGTACATGCATAGAAAATTTTTTGGATTGATGAACACACAAAACAATGTTTACTTTTAATGAGTAAGATTAGAAGATAGTAAATAAATACAGGACTTTTATTTTTTTACTTAAGTGAACTGGTGTGCTATTTTAATTTTTAATAAAAATTATACAACAAAAATTACTTAAAATATAATGAAGAAAAAATGCATATTGAATTTTAAAGGACCTGGGATTAGATATTTGAGATATTTTCAAAACAGGTAACAGAATGGTGTACTCTCTCATTTTAATGATAAGATAATCTTGCTAATTATATTCAAGAAGAGATATGTTCTTTTAGATTATTTGATATAGCACAATCTAAACTCCTAGTTCAATTAAATTTGGAGGTGACCATTATCCTTACAGAACTAAGTCTTCCTGCCCAGTGGAACCTGTACTTGAGTTTGATTACAGATTATTCACAAACCAGAAAGCACACAAAGATTGGGCAATTGAAAGTATTTATTAGAAGACCACAAGTTCAAAATGAAAATAAGGCCTATTTATTGTAGATTCAGGTTCAACAAATTTATAGAGAGCACGAACTATGCATTGCGATTTGTGCTATGCATTTTTCCATATATTTTTCTTATATGGGTGTCAAAACAATCCGGTGGAAGAGGCTATGCTAGCCTCATTTACAGGTGAGAAAACTGAGGTTTGGTAGAGAGACTGAGAGTGACTTGGCCAGTAACTTGTTCAGCTAATGTTGATGAAACCAGGACAAAAACTGCTCCTTTGACTAACATTTGTGCTCTCTTCTTGGCATTACACCGCTGGGGAGGATATTCTGAGTCATCAGAATATCCAATAGCCATGAGTCATCATGGCTTCCCAGGAACACTCAGAGGAACCAAAAGGGCTCCTGAAATCAGCTAGCATGCTTTCCCCCCTGGGCTGTGCCAAATATCCTTTGTCTACAATCATTGTAACCATACTTACCAAATGCCTATACTGGCATTTATCTGCAGCAACTCCATAGCATTCCGCCCTCCCCCTGCCCCCACCACAGAAAACAAAATCATCCAATTATTACTGAAAGCTTTTTCCTGTGTCACAATTGCCAGTATAAAACTGGTTACTGACAACTTGGAGACAATGACACTTGCTGTGTCCTTTCTAGTAAGCTATTTGACTGAAATTCGAATTTCACTGTTTCTATTGCAGCTAAACAAAGTCTACATCTTGTTGTAAGTAACAGAACTTATTTATACTTAATATCCTTTGAAAAGTGGTGGCACTTCAGCAACTCAAACATAAAGTCTTGCCTAATTCTTCCAGATGAAGTGACACATCATCAGAATGCAGCATTGTTCATATTTAAATATTGGCCTACACCTATCTGTTCATTTCCGAAATTGTTTTGAGATCCACCAGGGGGAGATGAATCTATATATGTGTCTTGACCAGGCCTCTCAGTACTTGGAGGGCACCCACAGTAACCGAAGGCTCACCCAGGTACCGGATCCTGCATGACCTGTTTGTTTTCCACAGCTCCGTGATGAGTTTACAGTGAGTTATGCATGACTTTTCTCATTGCCAAGATTTTGGCCAGCATTTCTTGCCCGTCATTCTTCATTCTTGTATTTGCGTTTTGGGTGAGTCATTGCCATACTTGTCATCGAGGCTTCCTGGGATGAAACTCTGGATCTTTTTTTCTGTCATCCTAGACAATCCTATTGGGTGAGTCTACCTTTAATTATGTTGTTGTCAGCCAGGAGTCAAGATGTAAACTGTGTTTTCCTTTCCATAAAGCCTGGTCTATATGAAAGTCCTAACTCTGGAAAAATGGTTGATCAAATTTAGATGTGATCTTTAACTGCATCTCCATCTACCACCTCCAGCACATACACACTCCACGACTTATCCTAGGTTTATACCCTTGACCTAGGCCATACATAATGTTAAATAAGTCATTCCCTTTGTCCAGGTATGTGTTTCCTTCTCCATAAGATGAGGGAGCAGGTCTGTCAGAGGTGTACTTCCTGCCAGTGTCCCTTCTGTGCCCATGGAAGACATCACTGGTTGAACATCACACTCTTTCCTGATGAGCCTGGAAATGGCCACAAAATTCTAAGTGCAACATCCTTGATATAGACATAGATGAAACATCATTAAAGTAAGTTTTGGGAATACTTTTTCCTCAAAAAGTTTATCCAAGTTAAACCCTTAGAGGATATTTATGTTTCATATTTCAGATCACTAGAGAGGAATAGAGGGAGAACAAATGATTGGTACTCTTAGAAAGTTTCCCCAGTGGTCTGGACTTGTGCCATTTATTCTGGTGGGATTTGCAAAGAGGGTCAAATACTTGGAAGGTTTGGGGGGATTGAAAATATTTTTAGAAAACTGACGTGGAAGTCTTATATTTGAATGTTGGTTGGACTGAGGGTTTTTGCCTTGCTATTCTAATGAAAAGATGAGCATTAATGTTTGTGGAACCTTTTATTAATTTCATTAACAAATATTGTATTACTTACCAAGTACCATGTTTTCTTCTAAGCACATTTCAAATATTAATTCATTTAAACATCACAGTAACCTTATGATGTGGGTACTATAAATACCTTCATCTTCCAGATGATGAAACCAAGGCTCAGGCTGGTTAAACAACTTACCCACAATCACACAGCTGGTCAAGCATAGAGCTGGAATTTAAACCCATCATTCTACCCTTGACAAAGTTCTTAACAACTACTACTCTTCTCTCTCTTTAAGTTGTAGAAACACTATGATGCCTAATCCATCTTAGGCACATTTTTGAAAACACAAGATGTTCTCAACCAGTACTACCCATATCAGTGTAATAATCCTGCATGGATCAAATTACATAACACACGCAAAGGATCTTGCACACTGAATAAGTGTTTAATCCAAGTGCCTGCCTTCTGCTCTGCCTTTCCCTATTAAAAAATTGTAAATATGTGAATCCAGGAGAAATGTCAGAGTACATGTTCTTGGTACATAAAAAAAATTTAATATTTCATTCTGAAATAAATTTTTGTTAAACATGCCATTGTAGAAATCAAATAAATGAAAAAAAAATAAATACAACCAATGATGTAAAGAAGATGGAACACGAAGAAAAATAATTACTGATTAGGAAAATTTAGTGGGATGCTTTACATGTTCATTTATTCTGTGCTAATATTCTAAAGCCTCTGGTTCACTGCCTTTATAAGAGATGGGAGTTCTTACTCCTACCCACCCTCTCATAGTTCTCTCATCAAGAGACACTGTGATTTTTTAAAAATTTGACCTGACAAGATATTTATCAAGGGTTTCCTTACTTCAAAACACTGTACCATTCATCCCTTTCTTGAAAGGCAGCACTGAGGTTCTAAGAGTTCAGAGGGTCCTCCTGACAACTCGGGAAGAATTCCTCCTGAATTCATTCACTCAAATGCTGTGGAAGGTATTTAGTGGTTCACTCCGTAGATGGTATCATCCATTCATTGAGATTCTTTTGTAAGTGGTTCCACTGAACACCATACATCCTAATAAAGCTTATTCCAGCCAGAAAGAGTCAAGAGGGACTTACGGAGGAGGCTTGAAGAAGAGTGGAATTTTAAATGAGAAATGAACTGTGAAGGCATGAGATTATGCTGAACTGGGGAACTGGAATAGAGAGTGAAAAGAGGGGACAAGATTGAACATTTAAGGAGAGAAAGTTTGATTTTTATTCTGTATACACCATGATGTGTCTGACATGTCTATTTTGGTTGCAAGTGACACAAAAACCAATTCAAATTGGCTTAAATGGGGACCGCAGTGAAGGTCGGGGCACCATTGACTCACACAACTGACAAATCCACACCAGAACTTGCTTTGGGGCTTGCAGGATGCTCTAGGACTCCCTCTCTAAATAATGTGGTTGTGCCCTTTCTGTTGATCAAGTCTACTTTAGAGAAATTATGTTTTAGAGAAATCATCTTGGAGGCAGACTTGAGACTCAATTGGAGGTAGAAAATTGTAAGCTTAACTATCAAAAGGGCAACTACTGTTCTAGTTCAGGAAAGAAACAATGAGAGGCAGGATTCTGGCAGATGTCGGAGGTATGGGGAGGACATTTAGGAGGCCCACTCATTAAACATCAGGGCACTGAAGAGGAAAAACTCTAAAATAACTTTTAAGTTCTCGCTTCAGGTAACTGGATAAAATTTGGGCCTTTCATCTAAGAAAGAACATAAGAGATTTAGTGAGGAAAGGGGTAAACTTTATTTTTAATGACCTCTGAGACATTCAGGTGCAGATTTCTAGTAGGCATGTGGATATATTTATCTCAGAAAACCACTCTGAGCTGTAAATATAGATTTAGGGCTGATCAGAGCACAGGGGCCACAAAATAACAGCAGCATTTAAAGGTTTGGGAAGATGAGGGGAAAGAACTATAAAGAAAACCAAAAGGAAGGCAGGCAGAAGTACAAGAAGAACCAAGAGACAGTTTTCACAAAAAAAAAGGAAGGAAAAGAAGGAAAAGTGTGAAATTCTCGGTGAAATTAATTAAAATAAGAGATGAAAATGTTCATAAGACGTAACAAACAAACTAAAAAAACCACTATTAGGCCAATGGTGGAATCTCTGCTGTCAGCAATAGGATGTTGAAAAGAATCACAGACGCCAATTAAACCAAACACATCAACATATTTATTGGTCACCTGCTAAATTAAATGAAAGACACCTTACCAAGTCAATGGAGAAACAACAATAAAAATCATAAATAAGTTTAAAAAACATTAATTTAAATTTAATTCCAGTATTATAATAATTTGAAATGTGAACTCAATTTATTCAGAGAGGTTAAGTTCTCCAAATAGGAAAGGTGGTTTATATACCAAAGTGTGTAACCAAGATCAGAGGATTTTGCTTTAAAAAATCAATCATGTATGATTGTGCTCATCAAAATTACTCTTCATTATCTCCACTTAATCCCTACTAAGTATTGCAACTTTATCCTATTTCTGAAGTACTCTTGCCACTAGAACAACTTCCTACTCTTCCTGCCCAGTGGCCTGATATAGAGGAGGCTTCCCCTCAATAGCAGTTGCTGCTTAATGACTCTGGCCCCAGCGCTGTTGAAAGCACTTCTTCAGTTTCTCCCTCTATTCTTGTTTCCTTTGAATTAAGCATTCTAATGGCATCTATCTGAAAGATGGTCACTCCACCCGCTTGTCTGTCTTTTAGCTCCTGGACTCTCAGTGTTTCATCTTAATCTCTCTCGTAATGCAATATGAGTTTTGAATTTTACCGCAGACCTTCCCAGGTCTCTGGGAGGAAGTGAACAGTCTACTGTTGACAATGGCCTTGGAGCCCATAATTCCCATGACCTTGTAGGTAGGGGCTTACATTGTAGAATTGCACTATAAATATTTGAGCACACCTGTGATCCAACCCTGACTTCAGGGACTCCGCATCCATATCCATGGACATACTTTCACCAGGACTTTGTGGATGACAGACCTTCCCTAGATTCACAAACCTTTAATTATTCCCAATAGGAACATCTAGGCTAAAGCAAAAGTTTTTGTGGACTGCATGAACTAAAGTGGGACTCACCTCTTTTCATTTTACAATTTTGGCTGTGTAATCTCTCTTGCTGTAGTTTCCTTGCCTCCTGTCACCATTTTTCTTTCTTGTTTTTCTCCTAGAGAAGGAACATATAGAGTACAGTTGAAAGGCAAACAAATGAATTCTGAAATATCTGCTCTTTTCCATCCTCCCTGCCACCGTGCCCCTCCATTTGTGTGGACCATCAATGGCCAGTTGTTTCTGTGTAGTGCGTGTGTGTGATTGGCACTCCCTGCAATTACCCTTTCCACAGTGTCTGCCCCCGAGCAGTGCGGCTTCTTGGGTTACTGATGGCCTCACAACAAACCTGACTTTGTTCTTTTAACCATCTTCTCTCAATGCCATCTCATTAAAGTATATTGCCAGTGAAAGCAGCCCTGACAAATGTCTTTCTACTTGTAACCTGGCCTGAAATGGCCTAACTTTTCTTGTTAAGTAGGCGAAATATTCCAAAAATAATTTAAGAGAGAAACATGAAAATACCCATTCATGTTGTCACTTCTACAATACTTTTAAGAACATGTTAAACACAGACCACCAACCTTTTAAATTATTGTCTTGCTCCAATAACAAAATGAGCATGATTTCATTTTGTGTCCTCCAGTCTTAAGTATAAATTATGAGAGAAGACAAGGCCCAGGCACTGAGGGAAACGCTGGGTGACTGGAAAGTAGAAACAGGCAATAAGGACCCCAAATGTTGAGTTTCCCTTGTGGGAATCTTTGGGAATTAAAGCCTTTTCTGGAAATTCTTATTTAAACATGGCAAGATGTTCTCTGTGTAGATAGAAAGTTATCGATCAAAGGTTGATTAACATAAAAATAATTACACTACTTACACCTTCACATAGACTAAATTGTATCACTGGAGACAAGATGTAGCCCCCATCTCCTGCCACATGGTCCCTTCCGCAGCCCTGGATTTATTCTTTTGAAAATCAATAATGTTGCAGGAGCAGTGCGGAGGAGTGGAACTGGATTTTTCCAATTTGGAGCAGAATCCTGCCCCTAGTTATTGGTAGACAAAGAGCGTGTCTGCCAGATCCTTGAACTTCACATCTAGTTGTCCTATTGTATTCCTGCCTTCTGGAAGGGAAATAACTCCTTAAAAGGAGAAAATAGAAATATAATAAAGTTTTTTCATTTTAAAAAGGAGAAATTTAAGAAACAGCCTTCTTGTCCTAGATATCACCTACTGTACCCATGAACTCATTCATTTGTAAATATTTACTGAATACTTTCCAAGGAGATTATACAGTGAAGTGCCTAAAATTGTCCATTTAGGTCAAACCTCTTGGGCTCAAACTTTAGCTCTACCACTTTGTTGTTTTTTGACCTTAGGTAGCCAGGCTAAAAAACCACATTACTTAGCTTCCTTAGTTTCCCTGTGCCTCAGCTGCCCCATCTGTAAAACAGGATCAAGTGGTCAAGACAAAGTTTTGGGACACAGCAAGCACTCACTAACTGTTAGGATTATTATTTCCATGCATGACATTAAATTCTAAAAATTACAATAACACATTTCTGCCCTAAAGAAACCTTACATGTGCACCTATAATATATGGAAAAAATTCACATGCTTTAAATCTCCTGAAAAGGGCTGATGTGAAATGTGAAAAGGCTTAAAATTTAAAGGAAAGAATTAGCTAATATTAGTGTTTTATAAATAGATACATAAACTCTTTGAGCTTATGACTGACTAGACAGCCTATTTCATGGTTGTGCTATTATTTACATAGATCCTGTCTCATTCTTTTCAAAGGATTACAATCTGGCATCAGTTACTTCTACCCACCTGAATGTCTATGGATGCACATATGAGTTCCTCCAATTTGAACAATGAACAATAACGAAGCAATTTTGTAGACTTATGTCTCTTAACCCTGTATCCCTATAATGTATATGTTTCTAATGTTACATATATATAGAAACTGACACAGATAAAGGGAGGTGTTGGCTCAGACCAACATGACCTCATTTGCTAAAGCCTTAAGTGTCCACATCTTGATTGTGTAAAACATGTTTTTGTGCCAGTGTATGGAGACGCCCAGATGAACCCTCCACTGATACACAAATAAAATAAATGAAAGTGCAGGTAAAAGGTGTCATTGTATTTTCACATGAATGTGCCTGAATGAAGCTCAGAGAGACAAGTAACTGGTTATACACTCAGCAGCAGGGGCACTAGGATTCAAACCAAGAGCTCGCTAGTGTGAGGTCTCTGCTCTTTCCGGGATATTACGGGCCCTTTTCTTTTTGGTAACTTGTATTCTCACGGTTTTGGGAGGTTATGAATGTGATGGAAGTGGCTATGATAAAAAAGTCAATATTAACCAACCAAGTCTCTACATTAACAAATAGAAGTTTGCCTCTTCTAGTAGAAGATTAATCCAGACTGAAAGGATTTATCCGAGCAATGCTTTTGTTATACTTTTTTTTCATAAATAGAGACATGTGTGTCCCCAATTAAATCACTTACTGCATAAATTCAAACATGGATTATAAGGACTGTTTCATAAACTCAAAGGATTCAATTGCACCTATAAATATTAAGTGTTTACATTCTAGGTACTTAAAAAAGTTTACCTACATTTCAAATTAACAGTTAATCACAAATTCAGTGAGGAAAGGGAGGGTATACAAGATCTTTGAAGAGGTGGGAAAAACGTCTTTGAGCTCATCACAGTAAGTACCTGCAAGGTCCCACCAGAAGGCAGTCTGCATAGCAGCAAAGAACAGCCATTCTGGACCAGACAGGCCCAATTTGAACATAGGATGTAGAAGCTACTTAATCTTTATTAACCTGAGTTCTCTCATCAATGAAATGGGATGATAATACCTAGACAACTGAAAGAGTCAGATGATATTGCTTGTCTGGAACGTGGCAGTCACTTTTAAATGTTGTTTGCCTATGGTTCCTGCCATTCCACTGGTCTCAATTTTTTCAACAGACTGCCTTCAGTATGTACTATTTTCTCAAACATTAGGCCTGATTTCTCACTGAGAAAGAGACAAGTAAGGTCATTTTTATTTTATCTCTCCTAATTCATCTCTGTCTCAGCTTTGCCTGTGTGGCCTGGCACACTTGCCTCACCTCTCCATGACCAGAGGAAGTCACAACATGGCTTTCTGCTGCTCACTCAAATTGTCAACATCCAGATGCGAAACACTCATCTATTTATAATCAGGACCCCTGGCTCCATGAGAGAAAGCATGTCTGTGGGCCTCCTCCGCTCTTCCAGATCATTCCAGGTGGCTTGAATTTGGGGAAGCAGGGGGAGGGGTGCTGTGAGATGTGAGGATAGTTATTGCTCCCACTTTGAAATGGCTACAGAGCAGAATGGTAACAAAAATCAAAATCACAAACACTAATGAGGCTCCCTGGTTGGTGCCAGTTCTATTCCAGTCGCCACCCTCCATAGGCCCAGAAGAGAGTGAAGGATGATAGGTTTGGTGGAATCCTTGGGGCACATTCAAAGAGTTTGAAGTTTTGTTTGAAAGTCTGTTTGCAGACAGTAAAAATGGATTAAATTGCCTCTCCAACACAAAGAAATGCCAGGTCTCAGTAGAGGTAAGACACCAGAGACTTAAAGTGCTACTAGAAGCAAAATAATGAAAAGCATCCAAAATGATGGACCATCTTTGCAGCCAACACTATGTACCTTAAGCTTAAGAGTATCTACACTATTTGTGATGAACAGAACCAAAGATTTAATGCATTTAATATGTTTTTTCTCCTAGAAAGGAAATGGGTTTATTTAAGGACCATGGTATATATTATACAATCCTTTTTTTAAAAACACAACAGAAAGTTATCCTCTTTGTTGTATTGCCCATTGCTACTCCCTCCTCTACAACATAGATTATTACATTTTTAACTAATAGAAGTGATGTGTGTGTCAAACTATATTTACAAAATGCCATTGGAATCCAAAAACTAAATGAATAAAGATGTGACTTTTTCATCTCTTAAATTGTAACATTTCAAATCATTTTAAGAGGTTAAGTGATTTTTTATTACTTTTATGCATATTGAAAGCACCAGACTGTATACTTAAGGGAAAATGGGGGGATGGGGGAAACTGCACAGTGGCTGTACCAAGATCATGTTCATAATAACATAACAAGGTATATTTGGTAAGTTATCCAAGCTTTAAAGCACTAACATTTTCAACTAATAGCACCTACTAAAAACACTGAGAAAGATCAATTATGTGAGTACTTTATTTCTCCCTCAAATGACCTAACTCATCATTAATTTGACACATGTAGATTAGTAGCTCTTTCCAAGAAATGAAATTAATATTTAATTTTAGTAGCTCTTTGAAATTAATATTTTCAAAACTTAGTAAGTCAACATATGTAACATGCATTGAATATAGCTTTTGTTATATATTTTTAAAATTTTTTGCCTCTCTTTGTGTGTTCCTATGTGTGTGTGCACCTGTGTGAATGAGTTTTCGGGTAGTCTTCTCCATGATGGACATTGTGCTGGGCATGAGAGGAGAGGACATGGCAGAGTCCCCATCCTTGGGCACTAACTTAGAGCTGTTCCTAACACCACTGTGGCCCGTGCACATGTGGGAGGAGCATCATGAGCCACCAGCTTTGGTGAGAGCACATGCTGGAAAGATAAGAGAAAACTTTATGGAGAATAAGCACTTAAATTGAACTCTGAAGGAATATTAGGAATGTTTCAATTAAAAGAATATTTTGAGAATGTTTTTTATCATAAAATATATCACATTTTTTTCAGTTGATATGCTTTATTTTTTAGGGCAGTTTTACATTTATGGAAAATTAAGAAGATGGTACAGAGTTTCCATATAGCTCTGCCCTCCCCCCATATGGTTTTCCTTATTATTAGCATCTTGAATTAATATGGATCATTTGTTATAATTTATTAACCAATATTGATGCATTATTATTATTATTAGTCCATGGTTTACATTAGGGTTCTCTGTGTTGTAAGAGTTCTATGGATTTTGACACAAGTATAGTGTGATGTGTTCATCATTGTAATATCATACAAAATAGCTTCAATGTCCTAAAATTCTCCTGTGTTCCACCTATTCAT